TTTTAGAGACTGCAGAACGTTATTCAACTGATGCTCCAGTTACTTAATTAATTGCCCCATGTATGATATTTGTAACATCCTTTGATTGTTTACAAATCAATAATAATAGCAATGATAGCAGTAATTTATAAAGCATAATGCCAAAAATGCTAGGTGTTTCCACAATTTTGCCCACTAGTGTAGCTACTTCAGGTCAGGAAAAATTTAGATGTGTTTTTGAGGAATGGTTTATCACGCACACAAATGTATATGTATATATACATAAAATACTTGTATTTATTTGACGTTTGATAAAAACTCCACATCTGTCAACCTATCTAACTTCCAGCTACTTATCTATGGGTTGCAGGGTCAAATTTTGTACATATAGTATTTTATAAAGAAACCAATCGTAGTCCGGAGAATGTAAGGGGAAAAAATAAATATAGATTATCAATCTTTTCATCCTCTTGCACTTTTGCGCATGTAAAATGAGTCAGGCTAATTGTGGTCAAAGCACAGAGGGAAACACAAATATGGGGGGGGGGACTCAGGAGCAGCTCGCGAGCTGATGTGGAGGACGCGGGAAACCAGAGACGTCAGTCCCGGGGAGACACACGCCGAGGGTAAACACAAATAATGAAGGAAAATCACCTGACGCCGTCGCGGCTTTCCCGCAGCTGCCAGCCCGAACAGTCATGTCTTTTAGCGCGCCAGTGATGTTTTTTAAAGTGTCATAAATAAGGGTATAATATGCGTTTTATAAACACAGTAATTGATATCATATAGTCGCTCCTTCAAGAGCTCCAGAATGCGTCTAAGTGACGTTCAGAACAGCGGCCAGATCCGCCGACTCGGGTTTACGAAGCACACGAACATCCAGCGGTTTGACTGCGTCTTTCCATGACACCGTCTCGGGTCAGACTCGCCTTCACGCCTTCTCGAGTGCTGCCTCTGCGGGTTTTCTCTCAAGTGCACTTCGGTTTGTTTTCCGAGGGTGATTATGCTGAGGTTTTGAAATGCATGTAGTAGGAAAGGAAGCTTAGCGTGACACCACACATGCTCTGATACTGTGCCCTTACCATGGACACCACAGATTTAGTGTGGCAGTTATCCTCCCCTGCAATAGGGGGCGACTGTAAGTCAGGCCATCTGTAAATGTACTGTGGGGGTGCATGTTGTTTTTGTACGTATTTCTCTTACCTTGCTGTTTTAAAGGGGTAAAAATGTTACAACCACCAATGCAATAAAAGAGGTTTTGTGCCTCTCAATTGATCCTCCGCCTGAGCTTTATAGACACTGTATTCTCCATCTTCTGGCCAGGCCAATATGGGAACCGGTAAGACAAAAAAAATAAAAATTAAAGCCCCCCTTCAACTCCTGATCATGCTCCTCAGTTTTTGAAGCTCCCCACCCCCAGCCCCCATCCCTGACCTAACCATTTTTCTGCCTGACTGTATGTTTGATCCTGGGGTGATCAGGTTACATCGTTACCTGTATGTCAGGTTGGCATCCCGTTTTCACAGGAAACAAACGATGGGAAAAGTAACCAGTGAGGAGGAGCACGGGAGGGAGAAGCAGTTTCAACAAATAGACGCTTCATGTATTTTCTGTCTCCGTTTCTTTTATTTGGCGGCCTGGTGTGAGAGTGTTCACAGAAATGCCCTGGGACTAATTAAACAACATGAATCATTTTCTCCACCTTTCGCCAGCCCTAATTAAGCAATAAAGACAGGATCGCCTTTTAAAGACGTGCACTAGCTAAGAATTTAAAGACCATTAAAGGGATTTTCACTGCGATCCACATGCTCACACCCGGGGCACGTAGACTAGCCATCGGGCACGAGGCAGTCTCGGACCGGGGGGTGGTTGAGAGGACGGCGTAAGGCACACGCGACTCGTCGCTACGTTGTAGTATCGGGGTGGGACTCGTGGCATTTCGAATGCACCACGTACAATGTTTATGAAAACCTGGAAGACCTTGCACGCATAAACTGTCCTGATATGATATTTGACCCCATCACTTTCTAGAGCGTCAGTCGCTGTATTTCTATGTAGCGGCTGTTTAAATATGTACATTGACCCCACCGTAGGAGTGACTACATTGATCTGGCCTGACATTGATCAGTTCTGATAGAATCCTTATTTATTTTATTTGTTTAATTATACTATTTAATAACGCATAGTTAAATTGTTTATTGCATGTTAAATATGCTGGAGCATATTCATATCCAAATAGCTTTTTGCGATTCCTACTCGGCCTGTTTATTGTTACCAAGTCCTAACCAGAATGTTTATTGTCCTAAACAAGTTATGTATCAAAACAAATGAAATAATTATGTGAATTCTGTATTCTGAATTTTCTATTCTGTATAATTTATGTAGCCTATAAGAAAATTTGGTAGCAAATGCAACTGGAAATTGATTTTCACGCGTACCGAAATGTCTGAATTACTGAAATAATCCCTAGAATTTTTTTCTTAGGACAGGGGATTATTTTGCAGTGGTGGTGGGTAAGAAGGGTTGTTGACAGATTTACGACTTTTAAAAACAAGGGGGACGTTCACTGCTTTTTGGTCTGATCGTCTTCATCGCCGCTTCTCCTCTTCGTTTTCTCACGGCGCAAACAGGCGTTCCATATTTCTCAGTCAAACTGTCACATCCTGATGCTTGCTTTTATGCGCGTATTCAACGTGTTAAATTCCAGTCATCGTAACAAGATACGAGAATGTGAAGCGTCATATCAGATCGTTTTGAATTTCCGCAGTGTGTGATTTTTACGTAACGGAAAAAAAACTTTTAAGACCTACAATGTCTGTAATGCGTAGTCCAGTGCGCCGGATTTGTAGAAATACGGCGTCGGAATAAGAGGGCTGTAGTGCGCTCTGTCTCCCCGTGTTATAAATCAAGGCAGTCTACTGTTTCCTGTCTCCAATAAGACCCCCCCACCAAACTCCACCTATGTTCCCTGCTTACGACCAGTTCCGCGCGGCCAGCGAGCCGCTCTTTACGGTGTGAGACCAGTCAGACCACCAGGAAGCCGGACCGCTGATGGAGTTGTGCGGCGCAGCAAGCGTGCAGTTTGAATAGGGAGACTGCAGCGCGCTATCCATTACGATGGCTTACGTGAAATACAAAACGTCTGTGTTGTTGTATGGAATCGGTCCGTCGCTTTCTATAGAAAACTGAATTATATTACACATTGGTTTGTTGCAAAAAATATCTTAAATGACAGCTATGTTTAACATCCACAATTGTACTGAGCATATTTTTAAGAAAACATTATCCTATCGGTCAATGACAATCAATCGCATATGATGATGATTACGATTATTATTATTGTTATTATTATTATTATTATTATTATTATTATTAATAATAATAATGGCAATGATAATGATAATGATAATAATATGATTAACCTAATAATAATAATATATTAGCAATCTGTTAAGATTTTAGATACTGCCAAACAACGAATAAAACTGTTTTGCAGTTTATGAGATGTTTGTGTTTTTATCATAGCGTAGCCTACATTTAAGTATTTTAAAAGCATGTTCAGCTTGCAGTACGAAGACCATCTTTAACAGAGTTATGATATATGTATTCTTTAGGTGGGAAAGGGGATAGGCATAGGTGTATATGACTGAAATACTATCCATGTTAAAACTTTTATTTCGCTTTATTCTGAAAATTGCAAACAATCCCCACGGCCAGAACCGGGCGAGTAATTCATTGAAAGACTTTAAGCCTCTTTCAAACAATTTTTTTAAAATTAAAGTGCCACTTAGGAATAATTATGCCTATGTTTTTAAACCAGAATAAGTAGGAAAACAACAATTAAAAGTGAAATATTTTTTCCACGTTCAAATCGAGGTCTGATGAGAGGGGAAGTATCTGTTTTCTTAGTGATTAGGGCAATTTTACTGTCGTGGAGCAGTAAATCCAAACCATTCACTTCTGCAGATTATTACAGACAACATCAGACGTTTTTGGTGCCTGGATGTTAGACCTGTATTGGGCGGGATTTTCTTTTTTGGTACTTTCAAAGTAAAATAAACCTTCTCATTTAATTACATAGATTTTTGTATATTTGCCCGCCCGCTTTCCTCAAACAAAAAGATTGATTTTCAAAACCGTGCACGACTCACGGAGGCGCGTGCCCCATGACACATAAATCTTGATTTTATAGACATTTATTAGCTACATTATTATTAATGCAACACCAGTTGATGACTGAAAGAAAGTTACATGAACGAATTAATGCCGTATTATCTTAAAATGTATAACTCCTCAATTAAGGATTTCAAGAGTGATATTTTAAATATTTTGGTATTTACTCATGAATGATGAACTAAGATTTCTTTTTTATTATTCATTATTTCATTTGTGTAATGTGTTTTGTGAGACTGCAGAAAGCGAGGCCTGAAGGGCTTCGAAGCATCAGGGCGCACGTGCAAGAAGAGACAGACTTGCGCTGTCTTAAGTGCGACAAAGACTCATTTTTTTCTGCCTGCTTCTGGCCCACTGTTTTCATAGTCAATCAATCGATTCTGCAGGTCCGACGCATGTTTAAACGGCACTTGGACTCTTTCCACGTCGCGGCCCCTACATGAGAACGCACGTGCATTTGAGGTGAGATCTGGATAGTATCCTCACTGCCAGAGAAGGATGTGAGCAATTACCAATTCTCAAAACACTACTTTACCATAGTTAAATGTATTACACGCCTCTTGCTTGCATCGACGCTGTTCCTCACTTCAACCTGTGAAAACCAGACTTCTGGAACACGATTTTTTTCAGTAGAAAAAAACCTGACAGCAATTAACCAATCATCATCATCATCATCATCATCATACACACGCAAACATGTGCGACACAGGATCTAATTTGCGCCAGACGATGTGTTTTGAAATCAATTAGTCTCTTTCAGCTCGAATGGCGCGCGGTACGTTTTTTAATTATTACTGTAGTTCCTTCATAATGTGGTATAAAATTAATAAAGCAAGGTGACCCAGCCGCACAATAATCTACTATTTGTTTTTAATGAACATAAAAAGACAAATTAGTGCCTTTGTAGGCTTTTCCGCTCTAGGTTAGGTTACAATATCAGGATGCTTTTGTCACAATGCCATCACTCTAGTTAATATTTAACGAGTTCTGCGAAAGAAACCTGTTGCAGGTTGTAGCTACAGAGGCAGGTACTTAACCAGCAGCACTCTAACCAATCCCTCACCCTAGCAAAAGCTTTCCCCAGGAACCTGCGACTAGACAAAGACCGCCTGGATTCCAGAGTGGCACACATATTACATTCTGTCCCAGAATTGTCCCATAACATCTGCATTATCTGGATAACTCCCAGAGATACTAGCACATTCCAGGAATGCCGCCTCTGGAGATGGCCAGAAGGTCTCCCCGCCTCAAAACGGTTGTCCCTTGACGCGCCATGCAAGATTCATCTCTGCCACTAAGACACAGCAGCAGTTTGCTTCTTTATGGGGCAGCCAGTTTGCTGGGACATCAGCAGGGTCGTTGGCTGCTTGCTGAAGGAGCATCATCCTGAAGAAGATTGCTGATGTCTGATGGTCAGACCTGGCGTTGCCAAAGGGAACCATTCAGCTCTAGGGGAGAATGTCAGTCAGAAGGGCGAGTAGCTGAGGGATGATGAGGGCGTCTAGCAGAGGCCTTGTGCTTTTAGCTAAATATCAAACAATGAAGGGCTTTGTGAGGGAGGCAGAGGCCATGTTTGAGCATAAACATAAACCGGTAAAAACGTTTTTTTTAAGCTGACCTTTATACAGACTGAGAAGTACTTTGCTCTCCGGGTGACCCATGCGGGTCTATCCAAGGGACGCTGTGAGATTCAAGCTGCTCACCGGTTTTTGTGAAATAACGCTGTGGAGCGGAGTAACAGTGTCACCTCTTGGTTTTTGTTTCCACAGGAAAAGGCGAGACTCGGGCGCGGGCTGACTTCTCTGGGGGCCCTGGGCTGACATGGGTGGGGAAGGGGCCCTAAGTGGAGACGAGGGGGGATTAAAAATGGCAGAACATCAATAATATGCTAATCAAAGCAAAGGGTGCCAGCGGTAAAGCTTACCGATCCGGGTGGGGGCGGGACTGCTGTCGGTAAAATTCACCATGGGGGAGGAGGGGGGAGAGGTATCATGCCAGAGGATTGATCAGCCAAATGTAAGATACATGATATTATTATAGATTATAATATTTTAACCAAAATAGTTACACGCCTGGTTTGGAGTGCATTTGATCTATGTGTTTTGTTTCTAAAAAAAGAAAAGTGGGGATCAGCATGGGGCCCCCTAGAGTACTGGCCTAGGGCGGTCTGCCCCCACCCCCCCAAATTCTTCCCATGATGAAACTATTGTTGCTGGCAGATGAGACAGAGAAGAGGACATCAGCAATGGAAAACAAGGCCAGTTAGGCAATAAACTACAGAGGTGAGACCTGGGGTCTGCATGCTGCGTCAGGCTGAGCCAGACCTGTCACCCCCAGACCTGTCACCCCCAGACCTGTCACCCCGGAGAGGCCAAGAGGAAGACTGCAATCAGCTGAGCTGAAACCTGACACAGGTGAAGCACGACTGTCCAAAAGCATCTGAGTCACAGTGCAGCGCAAGAGACAGGCTGCAAACCGGAACCAGAGCCCAACGCAGGCTGGGGACAAAGACACGAGAACCGAAGATGTGAGTATTTAGGGACTGACAGGGGATCTGTACTGGCTGCAGACAACAAGCACACTGGAAAACTCAAGCAGGGTAGAAAAAAAATTACGCGCATATGTGCATTAAGGGGCCATTTGGGGACTTTTCCCCAATTACAACAATATAAAGGTGGGGGGACCCTGCCTAAGACAGTAAATCAAATGTCCCTTTGGTTACACCAAGGGCTTCAGCGGGGATGTTAAAATAAAAAACAAACTTTTTTTATTTTTTTAAAAGGATTTCATCTGTTCTCCCTGAGGACTTTTATGACTGTTTTATTTTACCGCTTCAGTTTTGACAAATATTATTGAGAGCATTTCCTAAATTCAGTGAGGTCAGTTTCGTAAGCAGTTACAAAACAGAATTTTACTATTCATTAACTGTATATTCATATACGAAACTTAGTGACAACTAAATTACATTAACATATGTGTTTTTCACCGTATTTGCTTTTGAGAAAATCACCACATTTAAGAAGGTTACCAAGAACAAATCTATTATGTTGTGATACATTAACTGCCCCGGTCACACGGGCTAGAAATATTAAATCTAATAACAGTTAAAGCGTTATAGAGAGACTCATTAAAGCGATTTGGGGGAGCGCGCGCGGGACTCTCACCTCATTGAACGATACTACGCGTCATTTAACGCATCCAGTGACGACGTGACGACAGCAGTCATTTAAATTTATAAATCAATACATGTACTCGTCAAAACGAAAAAGAAACCGGTCACATCGTTTTGTTAAGCGCATTGACGGTGTTATTTCTACCGATAAGTTTAACTTTCATTGATTTCTTTGAACGTTCATCCAAAAACGGTCGTGCGTGACACAATATAATTAATATTATTTTTATTATTGAATAGATATAATAATTATGAACACCGAGTCATTCGTGTCAGTGGTAGTATTAATAGAAGTATTTGTTGCTAAAAACGCTAAATGAATGTAATCATTCTTATATAAATGGGGCTGTTGATATATTTTGCAGTCATAACATTTTTTCCTTGACAAAATACATATTTTCCCTTAAATGTTCAAATCGTATACACACATATAAATTGCACTTTTAATTTGATTACTGCCCACGTAACATTGAGTTCATTTTTCAGGTGCCTAGTCTAATATATATATATATATATATACACACACAGAGATGCACAGGCATATTAATTTAAGCCGTCTCGCCAAAGCATTGGTATTTAGCCCGTCTCCATGTGGGTGTGACCTTCAACGGCGTCTTCTTCACAGTGAGCGAGAGTGTCAGTGTTGGACATGTGGCCTACGATGCCCTATGCCGGGACAGGTCCCCAATGGGACCCCGGCTCTAGTTTGTTCGTCCAGAGCCACTTCACTATCCCACATACTCATCTGCACTGAATTAAGGGTGTGTCGTTTCCTGGATCCCTCCCCCACCCAATCACGGGTGCGGGTTGCCAGAGCGCCGCCTCATTAGGGTTAATGCCGGTGAGACCGGGCCCTAATTAGGTGAGAGATGTCCACTGGAGCCCAGCAGAGGGCTTTAATTCAATCTGAAGGATCCTGTTTTGACAGAAGCAAAGAGTTACCAGGAGTGACTGGGTGAACTGGGGGGGCATGGGCAGAGCAGGGGGCTGGGAACAGAGAGGGGAAAAAATACGTGAAAATTGATACAAAATGAAAGATACCCCATGTGTAAGTGTATCAAAATAAACTACAAAATACAGCCACCAAGCGAAGTATTCAAATAAACTACAGTATTTTGCCATTTAAAAATTAAAAATACATTTAATATACTTATATTCTATATTAGCCTGTTCCTTCACAAAGACATTAACTCAAATGGCCGAGGATAAGAGTCACATTTTTTCGCTGCTTAATGAGCCACAATACAAATGTGAAACCAAACAAAAGATCAAATTTTCCTAAGTGTCATAAATACATCCCAACTACTCACGTGAACATTCAGATAATGGTAAGGCAATCGAACAAAAATAACATTAAACTCAGAAACATTGGGGTTTTTGTAATTTAGTTTACAAAATATTTTCCACTTTGCCCCACAAATGTAAATAACTCAAATCAACAAAATTTAAAATGAGAAATTAAAAACACAATTTAAATGCTTTACTCAGCATCTTAAAAACATGAAAGACGAACAGCCCTAAATGGAGCTTGTAAGTCTTTTGGTTCAACAGAAGTGATCACCTGTCGGCTCTAATTTCATGTCGGCTCCTTATAATGTCTGAAAAAACGAAACTTCTTCTTTGTGTAGCACAAACGCTTTGCACACATGACATCATCATGGCTACATTATAGGGAAAGCATTTCTTGTATATTTCTAAATACAAAAACACTGAACATCAAAGTATTTTGATACAAATCACATAGTAATTTTTATTAAGTCAGATACAAAAAAAATACAATTTTGTATTTAAAATACAGGTACCAAAATATTGCCCCCAAAGCCCTCATCCCCACCCCCCCACCCGGGGCTAAGAGTCGGTACAGATGGAGGTGTTAAAATGTGCACCATGGTGACAAAGCCATGGGCACCAAAACTCTTTTGCTATATCTTATAAAAATCACACATGATAATTATTCCATTCCAAACAATACTTAATTCTCTGATTATGGCATTCAAATGCTAGGTCTCTCATCTCGCCAACTCTAAAATGGTGAATTTGCCAAATTACCCAATAAAATTAATGATGATAATGAACACCTCATTAATACTTCCATTAATTGTAGACATACGTGTGCCGATGTTTCCATACATTACAGCCACAGCAAAGGGACACAGCATGTTCTGATGACTTGTAAAACTTTGATGATTTGTCCATTTATTTTGGACAGATTTAAAATAGATTGTAGAACAATGCATTTGCCGCTAATATCCAGCTGTTGACAGACAGAGAGAGAGAATGCGTAAGTAATAATAATGCACATTAAACCGATCCCAACATCTCTGCCTTGAGTTTGACTCCAGGCACGGTGAAGTGGAAGGAATTTAAAACAAACAAGGTCACAAAATGACCCTATTCACCATGTCCCCCGCTATGTTTGAGGCTGACCTCTCTTCTACAGCTGAAAAAAAATAATTCCAGATTCAATAAAAATGTCAAGCTTTTCACACATCAGATACACATGATCTTAATTAATACTCATAAATATTCTGCCAGCAATAAAACCCAGGATAGAGAAGCACAACGATGATATTCACTATACGTAAGTGTTCGTTTTCAAAAATTCTACAACGGACTCGCAATTTGGCAAAAACCCACTGTTTCCAGGCCGAGTCACTTCATGAAGAACAACGGCAACACTTATTTGCTGATTGTTATTTACTGTATCTCCTCATCTGTTTTCCATAGCCGCTTGTCTTATGCAGGCTTGTGGTTTTCCAGACCCTGTCCCTGAAGCAATGGGCGTAACGCAGGGAGAAACCCAAGGTGCCCACCCATTACAGGTTTCACAGTTACATTTATATCACTGTATTTTGATGTGATAAATCAGAGCCTTAATAAAACAAATATACTGTCTGACGTAAGACTTGCAGAAGTGTTCTGTGTGTGTGTGTCTGTGTGTGTGATTGTGTTCTTGGGGGTAGGGGAATATCATCCTCTGATGTACTAACATTGGATCCTCTGGTTTCCTGCCATTGATCAAGAGCCGAATGTTCAGCTGATGGGCCGAACGTGGAAACCCGATCGCCCAGGAGCAGGGATGGGCAGGGGAACAGCGAGTGTGTGTGTGCATGTGTGTGTTTGGGGGGAGGGGGGGGGGGGTTGGATTCCATTAATGCCCATTTCAGATCCTTCAAAAGTGCTGCCACGTCGCGCTAATTCACTTCCGTACCTTCGCTCTTTGGGTAACAGGTACAAATAACCAAGTATGGTGTTAAATGAACTTTATAGGTCACACATCACATGACCTGCATATAAACCACGCCGTGTCACATATATACACCCAGACGTAATCTGCTGAGATTGTGTCTAATCTCAGCATGGTGGAAACACCAGAAATGTTAAATAAATGGCTACAGTTACACGCAGCCACACAACGGGGAGTGTTTCCCATTAATGGCGTCTCCTCTCTCCCACTCTCCAGGCTGGCTTGTTTATTTTCTGCCTCTCGCTGGATCTCACTCCTGGACGTTGATATCCCGGCACAAAGTAAAATGTCAGATTTATCACCGAACCAGATGTTTGTGAAGTGTCACTCATATCCCGTGGACTGTTTATACATTTACAGGCCTGTTGCCATAACATGGCTTCCTATTACTGCTCTCCCTATCACTGCCTAGGCTCTGAGTGTTACTCACTCTTCACCCCCTGCTTTGGTGTGTGCACGCACGTGTGTGTGCTTATGTATGTGCGTGTCGTGTGTGTGACGGCGGGGCAGTAGTGGTCACAGCAGGTGTCATCTGTTTCCGTTCATCCCCAGACTCAGTTAGGCACTCGTCTCGTCGGGTCTTGGCTGACCAACCTTCCCTCTAGAGTGGGAACTGATGAATCAGCCACATAGGCCACTTTCACCCATGTCGCCACGGCAGCAGGGCAGCTGGGAGTAGGATCAGACCAGATTAATACAAAAACACAGTCAGTGATCAGTAGTGAAATATGTTTTTATTGCTTCCTACACATTTATGAGGGAATATTTCGTTCAAACTGAATAGCATTTTTATGTCCAGTTCTGAAAATAGACATACAGACGCTCCTCTACTTACGAATGAGATATGTTCTGAATGGCCGTTCGTAACTTGAAATGTTCGTAAGTCATTATTCAAAATCATTTTAGGGGTATACGCAAGTACAAAGAACTAGGATGCTGGGAGTACGCACGCTACGCAGCTGCACGGCGTATGAGGCCAGAAGTCGTACTAGATGGAATTGGCGCACAGAAAAAAAAATTGATGCTACGGGCAGGAAATGGGAGCCCAATGAACACCCTTTGGGCTTACAGTCCTCTTCGTTCGTATGTCTGAAAGTTCGTAAGTTGAAAGTTCGTAAGTAGAGGAGCGTCTATATATGGCAAGGACAACATGGAAATACACAGATATAAATATGCTGTGATTTCAAAGACCTAAATTAATACCATCTTTTGGGTGTGTTAAAAAATTACCCAGGTGTACGATTTCACCCCAGTGTTAAGTTAAAAAAAATTGCATTGGTTTTTGCTTTATCGGCCTCAAATCTTATATTGACAGGGAATTATTTTTTCTTCTTTTAAGCTGCATTAAGTTGCATCACCCATATTTATGTAAGATTTCAACATTAACAACCAGGTCTTTTGCTTGGAACGAGGTCTGAGGTTGCAGAAATAATCCAGATGGATACGTATGTGTACTTACTTTATCGCTGGCATCCCCTGAAGTAAAGTCAAGTCCCAGCCAAGCTGCCGATGAAGCTGCACATCTCTGCTTTTAGAGATTTCGCTCCGTTTAACTTGAAGATTGCCAAGCTGAGGAAAAGAGCGAATCTCTCCAAAAGCTGCTTTTTTATTTCTTCTCTTCTTCTTCTCCTCTGCTCTTTCAAAATAAGCAGCATAAACATAGTCTTATCTGATTAGATATTAAAAAGTAGTTTCCTTGAAATGCTGATATCACTGTATTTAGCCATTGTGTTGTCTCAGCCTTATGGCAAACAATTAAAATTAATCTGACAATAACATAACCAAGCAAGTACATGCTGTTACTAGTGGGTCACACTATTTGTGTGTTTTTTGCATGAAAAATACTTACTTTAGGCACTCATATCCATAACACAAATTGTTTTCATTTTACTGCTGGAGCAGCATGTATAGAATAATTCTACAATATTTACAGTACTAATAATAAGATGCCTGCACTTGTCTTCATCTCTAATCTCAGCCATCAGGGGTGTCTGGATGATTTCACGCCATCACACGTGTACTTTTCTAACACCCGCAGTGTTTACACACTGGGACTTCAGGCCGTGTAAGAAATGCACACGCAGCACTGTCCCTTGGAGGGAACTTACTGCAAATAATCATTTCCATCATACTTCAATGAATCGTTGCTGGAGTAAATTAGATGCGGACCTCATTCCACAGCCGTATGCCATGGCGTCGTCTGCAGCCCAGAACGGCGTCATTTTAAATGCTCACCTTTATTCCTGTAGTGCTTGAGAAAGCATTTAAGCACCCCCAGGAACTAAAGTAAAACAAACTGGGGCTGTTATAGACCCAATCTGCAAACAAAGCTTCTGGGGGGGGGGGGGGCTGAAGGGGAAGAGGAAGTAAAATGTGTGTGAGGGGACTGGACCCAGTGTCTTCTCCCTCAGCCCCAAGAGGAAGCCAGGGCGACCATGAGAAAATAAACACCTGATGGCAGCAGAGGATTATGGGACATATTGTTTACCAAATATATCCTTTTCTGGGTACGATTCGGCTCAGTGGACAAAGGGTCCAGGACGTGCCAGTCGGACATCCTTGCGACGCTCTCTGGTCCACGCGGCCGCTTGCGGTGCTGCTGTGGAAGCACAAATAAGGAAACCAAGAGAAAGAGGAATTAAAAAGAGTGAATTTTCTGATTGTTATCAGGACCCCGAGCCCTGTGCCCTGACCCCGAGCTGCAGTTTCCTTGGAATGTGTTTCACCTTCCTAACATGCACACTCAGCACACGCTCTTTGGAATTAAAGTTTACCGCAGCTTAATATGACCATAAATATAATAAAGTAAAATAAATACTGCTTTAACCTCACTCCAAATGTAATTACAACTTAAGAAAAAAAATCTTATTTTATATAAACAGATTATTTCCAGAATTTATGCTGGGACACTAAAATTGGGTTTACGAGCTGAGGGAATAGGACCGATTAAAGTGGGAGGCTTTTTTTGAGACGGCAGTGTGGCATGGAGATGTGGACTCACAGGGTCCATGTGGGCATCTTCAGCGCTTCCAGCGGCCTGAACTCCACTAGCTCCAGCCAGCTGACCGTAAAACCGCAGGATCCCCCACACCGACTGCCCCCCCCCCCCCCCCCCCCCCCCCCCTCTTTCCAGCTCATCTGACTCGTCGCAGCCTGCAGATCGTTCACCTCTGATCGCGGTGGCCACTGCTAGTGTCAATCACGCCGTCAGGGGGTAAAAATATTTTGAGGAGGCTAAATGAACCATGGGTCGGTGTTGCCAAGAAGAGCGCCCGCCCTGCCTCAGGCTCCTCCGAGCCCCGGCTCCGGTGCCCGCAAGGCCTCGTCTCAGGCCTAAAATACTGCTTACTCTTGCAAGCCTGTTTGTTTTTGATTTATGGGTGCCAAGCACATTCATTTATCCGTGCTTGTGTGTGTACTGCTGTTCTGCAATAACTAAACTGGCACTTACAGGGAACACAAACATACACTCAACCAAAGTAAGACTAGCTGCCGGCCATGCTTCGGGACATGCGTCAAAAACGTTGATATTTCGGTCTGTTTATAAAACTTCACCCAGCTTATGGAATTGACATTGATTATTCACTTATTGTAGTAGGCCTATCTTATTTTATGCACATGCAGCAGGGGAATCATCGTGCAATTACGATTGCGGTATCTCCTGTTCACTGTCTGTATGCGTTTTTGTCGTTATCATCTGCCTTTTTATTTGGCATGAATTTTGTTACTGGCGTGGTGCATTTCGTTTTTCGTTTTTCTCATCTTACGCCTTTTTGCCTACGGGCGTGATTGCTCCACTTCTTTGTATTAAGCAGTAAATACTTTTGCGAGTTTGTGGTCTTCAAAAACAGCGGCGCACGTGAAAAGCAGAATAAATGGCCACGGCAGATAAGCAAATGGGGGGTGTCAGGCGAAGCCCAGAGGCCGTAAGGACACCGAATCCCGGCTTGGCTGCTGAGAGGACGGGGGATGCTTCAGTTAAGCCCCCGGCTCTTAAAATAAACACGTGCGGATTTGATGAATGATCAGCGGGGAGATGCGCTCGCTCTGCGCGCATCCCTCTGCAGGAACCCCAGTGATGTCAGCCGGTCACTGTAAGCCCTTTCCGGCGGAGCAACGCCAATCATTTCTCATTTCATTTTTTCTTTCCCTGTAACGTCTTTTAATTTTACAATTCGCCGTTTTTTCCCTACTACGAATTCCTTATTTTGCTTTTTACATAAACAGTAAACGAATACATTTTTTCAGAATTGCTTTCATTACTATTAAAAGTAGTATTCCGAACTTAAATAACAGTTAAACATTCTTCCAATCACTTTCCCCATTAACTGCAATAGTAGACCTATTTGTATTATGTCTAAAGCCTGTTTATAGCTGATGTTTATAGCTTTGAGGCGGTAATCAATTACCAATTACAGTACCGTCCAAAATTATCGTTTCAAACACCGCCAGAACTGGGGTTATAAAACTGACAAAAATCAGTGTTACTACTACAGGGATCGTTTCCACTACGAGCAAACGATGTCTGTTTAGGTTAAGCCAAGGAGGGGGAAGACAATTAAAATGTATGAAGAGGCAGAAAATAATGCGGGTATTCGACTGTTATTCATGGGGGAACTGATTGTAAAAGGCTCGTTCCGTACGGTTCTTTTCCTACCTCCCTCCCCATCTCCGGCCCCATACCTCCTCCCACCCACCTACCGTTAGTGCGCTGAGTGGCCCCAGCCGGATTCCTGAAAATGCCGCCCCAGGCCAGGTTTCTCAGCTGTGCACGTGGAAGACCTGTCATCCCGTCATAAACACTTATTAAGAGGTGATTAATATTTTAATGAAGAAAGACCACCATTGTTAAGGGGTACGCAAGTCCTTCTAAAATGCCTCTGCAGGCAGCGAGAGAGAGAGAGAGAGCACAGCAGCGTCTCATTCGTCATCTGAGATTTGAGGACTCGAAGGCCCCTCTTCTCATTTGCCTAAACTTACCCCACGGGCGGGGGTTTATACAGGGGCAGATCCAATTTTTCTTTACACATTTAGCGGAACGCAGCCCACACAATCAGGCAAGACGGTTTCTGGTTTTTACGCGAAGAAATCCCGGCTTAAGCCGCCGATGGCGCCGCGCGAATCACATGCTTTTAAGAGCGCGGAAAAGCCCCGGGGCTGGGAAACGACGGGAGAATGAAATAACAGTTTCACGAGAAGATATATGAGCACTCGTCATTGTCTTAAAGCTTTTTAGATTTTTTAGTTTTAGATTTTATTTAATCTGTCGAGGTTGTTATAAAAAATAAATATCGGTAACACTTTACTTAAGTAAAGGTCCCATGTATAATGCATTATAGACACCTTCATAATGCATTATAATGACTTATACTGACCATAATAATGCAATATCTAGGTATCTACAGTGCATAGATCAGAGCTTCATAGAGCATTCATAATGCATAATAATCATGGCTATAACGTGTCATGCCTTTTAATAAATAGTTATAGCCGTGTTCATGATACTTTATGAATGCATTATAATGCATTATGAAGGTATCCATAATGCATTATGATGACTACTTTAAGTAAAGCGTTACCAAAATAGCAAAAAAAACAATGCTTTCAATTGCAGGATTAACCTTTGAGTAGTGGTTGCTTATCAGCCTTTCCCATTAAATGTGACATAGGGTTTGTATTGAGGCTGCCACCAAGAATTCCAGCAATAACAAAAACCAAAAGCTTGTGAAAAATATTGCTCTTGATAAAGTGCTGGATACATCAGCCCAACTAAGTTGCCCTTATCAGTTATTTTTACATTTTGTTTTACAAGGCTGAGTGCCCACAGTTTAATTGTCATATCAGAGCTTGTCATTTTGCAGGATGACAAAAACACACAGGAATCTGAGCTGCTCGGCTTTAACAGATGAACACGCAAAACCTGCCACTAATTACAACCGACGTGGTGCTGGCTTGTGATATCTCAGCCTTTGAAAGGCAGTGTGATCCTACAGCAGTGCATCGTGGGTAATATATACTCCATCGTGCCTGATGAGTTCTCAGGGTTTCCCGGTTTTGAGAGCCGCAGTGACGGTTTTGTCTTGCAGGGCCAAACGTAAACGTCGGGTCAAATGCATCATTTCGTGTTACGTGCACAAACACAGACAGGTCTAATGTAGCCAGGGCTGCAGTCAGCCGGCAAATCACAGTGACAGAAACAAAATGGTGGACCGCACGACACGACTCAAATGGAACGTTTGATTGGTTCACACTATCCCCCAGCGTGGAAGTTTAATGTAACATCGCGGTTGGTGATATAAACAACGGAGGCCATCTTCAGCCCACTGTAAACCAACGGGACTCGCTGTGTACCTCGTTCAACAAAAACAATTTTGATGAATCGCGGGACCTCTGACCCCAGCCGCATATGATAATGGAGAGATGAGCGAGACCTGAATCTGTAATCCTCATAAGCCAAATATGTCCACATCTATTTCATAATGAAAAGGTCAGGCTGACAAGCAGGTAAGGCTAATGGAGGTTAAGAGATTTATGTATAATAGAGGATATATAATAAGCAAAAGACGAAAACTTGAAAAATATTAACACCATCTGATAAAAAAATACGAAAAATGTACAAGGTGGCTAGTTTCATAAATAAAATGACATTATTTCACAAATGTTTTTTATCATTTACATATATTTAAATTGTATTTTATTATACAAGATAACTGATTTTCATTTTTAACTAAATGATAAATTTGCAATCTTTTTCCTGCAAACCTATGCTTTCTTTATAATATAAAAATAAACATCTTTAATAAAAATATTTTTTAATAATGTTCAATGGCAAATTGTTTCTTAAATGAATAAATGTGAAATTTAATAAAATTACTTTTAGGATATTATGTCCGAAATAGCTATAGTAAATTGCAAGAAATATGAATTTAATGGCTTCATAATATGTTATGTGTAAAATATTTTTAATATGTATAAGACTAATGGATTTTTTTTTTTAATGACTAGCGGGACATTTTTGCGTGACTGCTTTCTGAATATATATTATATTTTTTCCGTGGTTTCCGTGTTTATAGTGCACCAGTACGCATAGCGTGTTATTACACAAACAGGTCAGCTTTTATTTTGAAATTCAAGTCAAAGATTCAACCCCTATTCACTTTCTATATAATGCGAATGCTGTGAGGGCACGTTCAGGGAAAGTTTAAACTTTATTCACCTGAAATTAATACCGTAATAAAAAAGTGACTTCTGAAAGGTCAGTGTTGTGAGATAATTTAACAGCAGTATCAATGATAAAACTTATAGAGTATTATGTCCCTTTAGCGGTTCATAAAAGTTCATAAAAATGTAAACCGATCTATTTCTCCATAATTGACCTAGTAGATGTCAAATGCTTTCATAAATAATTTTAATAGCAGCTTATTATATGTACAAATATATAAAGTACGTAATTATTGAAAAAGTAATGTTTACTGAGGCTCATGTCTACATCTGAAGATGTCTGCCATTACTCGAGAGTATGACGGGATTCATATTTCTTTACGAGCAGTCTTTGGGAACAACTAAAGGTGATCCTCTTACACTATTGTAAGAAAACAT